ATCCCAGCTGGGTGCAGGTGACCCTAATTCTCAAGGGTGCCTTGTGTGGATTGTCACAGGTGTCAGCCAGAGGAGCCATTACACCTGCTTAGATGGTCCTTCTTAGGATGAGACCCCCAGGGTGCAGCTCTGCAGAACATAGAGCAAAATCAACCACTGTGAGGTAGAGCCATGTGGATTCTGACCCTCGACCCCCTGAGCAATCTTTGGATAAACATCAATTTTGAAGACACTTCAACTGTTTTTGTTGTCCCCAGTAAACAGACAGAGTAGAAGTGGCTTGATGGTGAGGGGCGAGACAGTGAGTCTTGGCTTTCGTGGTTGAGGGCACTCACCATGGAAACCACCTCAGATGAGCGGTCAATAATATTGGGTAAGAGAGCCACCCCACTCTCCATGATGGCACCATGGAAGAGTCCTTGGGACATTGGAGACACCACATGTGAGGACACACTACTGCCACCTGMAGACTGGCCAAAAATGGTGACGCGATCAGGGTTGCCTCCAAAGTGAGCGATATTCTGCTGGACCCAGCGTAGGGCGGCCACTTGGTCCAGGAAGCCCCAGTTGCCAGTTGCATGCTGGTCTCCAGTGCTGAGAAATGCAAGGATGATGATCACTGGATGGTCCTCTGTCTACTCAGCCCCATTGACCCTCCCTGTCCCAGGCTCACCTGAAGAAGCCCAGAACTCCCAGGCGGTACTGGATAGTGACCACCAGTACATTTTCAGTGGCTGCCAGAATAGAACCGTCATACATGGAAGCTGAGCCCATCACCAAGGCACCACCATGGATCCAGACCATCACCTGGGAAATCAAGAGAGATGCCATGTATCTCTCACCCAACCCAAACCCCTCCTGGACTGCTCTCTAGACTTGGATAGTCTCTGTGTAGCTACTACATGGACAGAACCCCAGCAGGTGACATGGTATTTCTCATGAGCCTGGGACTCAGTTTCAAGACCACTTATGCTATTTTTTCTTTTCTTTTTTTTTTTTTTTTTTTGGTACTGGGTATTGAACTCAGTATTGAATTCGACCACTGAGCCACATCCCCAGCTCCTTTTTATATTTTTTGTCTATTAGAGTCAGGGTCTTATTGGGTTGCTTAGCACCTCACTTTTGCTGAATCTGGCTTTGAACTCATGATCCTCCTGCCTAAGCCTCCCAAACTGCTGCTGGGATTATAGGCATACACCACTGCACCCGGCCCATTATGCTTTTGAATCTGCCCATGTATCAGATTCTGGCTCTATTATTCCCAGAAGCCCTTTGAGATGAAAATAAAAGGGGTGTCTCCCTGAATGTCCCACATAAACATTAACCAGTTTTACTAGCTCAACATTTTTAATAGCTCAACAGGTAACCAATGTTTGGAAATGCAGATGAGCTCAAAATGCAGTCCTTGAGAACCTGATTGTCTCTCCCAGGCATGAATTGGTTGTCGGTGTCCTGGAACCACCCTAGGGCCACAGCCTAAAACCTCTGGGGACAAGCAGGTCTCTGTAATCCCGTGCCCAGGGTTCAGTTACCCATCCTGAGTAAGAAGACTTTTTGAACCTGTTAGTAAGAGTCTTCTTATCAGGGTCCACACTGCAGTGGGGCTCAGACTATTCTCATATTTAAAAAAAAATCTTCTTGCAGAACAGCTGTTTTCCCACCTAGCAGCTGACCAAGGTTTGACACTCACAGGCAGGTTAGAGCCCTCATGGGCATGGGCAGGTGAGTAGATGCTGAGGTACAGGCAGTCCTCTGACATGGGGATTGGAGGGAGGGTCAGATTCAAGAGGTTCGTAACCAGTGTGTTCCTAGCCACATCCTGCAGACACCTGGTGGGAATAGCAGTTATTCCAGGAGCTGTGCCGTGGACAAAACAAGACTGAGGATCCAGAGTGAGTCTGGGTGCTCTCAGTCACCCTCAGTCCCCACTCCCCCTCAACCCTGCTCACACTTGATCCTTCTCCAGAGACTCTTCCCACCAAGTTCCAGGCCACAGGCTCAGGGGAAGCTGGATGGAGCCCAGACCTCCAGGAGGTCTCAAGGTTGTTGAGCAATTGTGTCCCACTCCCCCTGAGGCTGGGCAATCATGACTCTAGGGGCCTGTCTGGGAAACATTGGCTGCATGTGTTGACCAAATAATCCCTGTCATAGGTGTCTCCACACAGGTGGTGCATGAATGGGTAGAGGTTAGTTTCCCATAGAACATACTAGGACAACTCACAGACCAATTGGAGACTTTGAGGGAACCACATCCCTCCCACAGGGTCATCRGCTATAAGCACATGCACCTGTTTCTTGGACACTGTCTCCTGAACCTGTGGGCTCGGATAGTGACTATAGCAGGTGGGAGTCACCAAGGAGCCACCACTGCTTCCATCCTCAGCAATCTACAGAATGTACTGGTGGGTCTTTTATACTTTCTTAGAACTAACATGAACCTCTCCCATACACACATCAGTCCCCTGGTTGCAGAGAACATCTGGCATAACATGAGCTGGGACAAACATGTCTCTGCAACTAATGCTCTCTGGGTGCCAAGGCCTGAGACGGGAGCCTGGGGAAGTCAGCAACTGGTACTCCCTGATCCTCTCTCTTTGGAAACACGCATGTGAGAATCTTCTCAATGCAGAGGGAAGTTGCCTGGACAGTGTAGATGAAGAAGTTACCGAAGCCTGGCCCAGAGCTCAGAATACTCACCCCCACCCAGGCCTGAGGTTCCCCTGACCCCAGGAGAACTTACATGGCAGGGTGAGAGGTCCCATCCCTCACACCACTCCAAGGTTCAGGAGGCTCAGGAGCTGCAAAGCGCAGTGGTCCTACAGGTGGCTTGGCAAAGGGAATTCCCAGGAAGGTGTGGACCCCCACATCGGTGCCCTTCATGTGGACGAGGCTGCCCCGCACCTTCCCGGTGTGGGTGATCCGGATGGGGCTGACTGAGTCCTGGCCTGTGGGCAGAGAGATGCACTTCAGGCTCAGGTCTGCCCACTCAGCTGCTGGCCCACAGCACTGTAGCCTGGTTGGCCCTCCTCAGCTCCGCCCTGTGGAAGGAGCCTGATCTGTCAACATTCACTTCACAATCTTTTTGCCCTTCCCTGTTCCTATCCCCACCACCACTATCACTCGACCAGGTCACAGCCTATCCCTCCAGGCTCACCAGGCCCCTGTGACTTGCCACCATCCTTTAGCCCTCGCATCTGCCAGCAGAATGTCTTTTGGGCTGATGGGGCAGGAGTGTCCTTTGCACTCACTGTGCCAGGTCATGTCACGCACTAGGAGGACTGTGGGAATGGAACTAAAGTTTCCCATCCTCAAGGATCTCATGCTTGAGGGGACAAGAAATGACATAAAGAAGTACCATTCATGTAAGGAGAAACAGACTGTGTGAGGAGAGCAATGAGTTCAAAACTCCTGCCTTGCCTGGGGTTGGGAATCAGGGCAAAAAAGCAATGGAAAATCAACTTAGATATATACGGCTTGTCCAAGTCATGATATTTGTTAAAGATTGATGTTGGGTAGTTGGTTTTAACTCCTCTCTCTACTCCAGAATGGGCCCACTCTTGGGTGCTGTGCAGCCCTCAGGCTGCCTTAATCCTCTCTGTGCTTCAGCTCCCACATCACTGGAGCCTTCCCTCCCCCAGGTTCAAGTTCTCACTCTAGAATGTGGTATAGATCTGAGCTGTTTCCATAAGAAAAAGTTAAAAACTCCAAATCTCCTCTCTCTCACCAGGTCCCCTAGGATCTGCATGTTTGATGCTACCTGGTACAGGTCAGGCCAGGGCAGCAGCCACTCACAGGACCAGAGAAGGAAATTGGCCAGCATCCCTCCAAGTCCAAAGACACACTCCTGTCCCTACCAACATGCTGTCTCCACACAGTGCCTTGCCAGAGGGGATCTCAGCCCATGTAACTCACATGGCCACTGGCCACTAGTGCCTGATATTTGTTATAATAAAAGAAAAAGCCTGATAAGTATTGTTGCAGCTGCCTCATTGAGAACAAGTCCTCCATGAAACAGCAGAAGGAATCTCTACCATGCAGTGGTATGAAGTGTCCCCGGGTCAGGATATGAAAAGCTTATGCTTAGGTGAGAGACAAGGACAAGCACTGTGTAAAACCTGGACCCTATTTAAGACCTAGATGGGCCTGTGGAGGAGCCAGGACTGGGTGGGCAGAAGACAGTGGAACCCAACTCCATACCCTCCTATATGTCTTATTTTTTTTTTAATGTGAGTCCAAGAAGAAAGACTGTTTAAAAAGACCTCAGTGAAGCTGTAAAGATCTTCCTGATGAGAAAGTTCTGGTTTTCTAAGACCTCAGGTAAGGGARGAAGCCTGGCACGATGGTCCAAGGGGGTAAGGTGAGCCTGGAATCCTCTGGGAAGATTAGAGTGGGAAAGTCTCGGGGTTATGACCACACCCATACTAGGAGGCTGCAGTGTAAGAGTGATCCAGGGCTGCAGACACACCCTRGCAACCACTTCTGATAAGGGCCTAGAGATTTCTAGCAGGTACAGAGCATATCTACCTTTGTCCTGGAAGCCAAGCCATGACTGTGCCCCAGCTCAGGCCCATGAGTGAAGGGAACCCAGCAATCTTTCAGATCAGCTTTGAGAAGTGTTACCAGGGACTTCTGTATCCCACCAGGCCAATAACCTTGCCTAGGGACCCTTTAGAAGGTGCTAGGCACTTCTGTGTCCAAGGGATCAAAACACTCAGAGCAAAATGTAACCAGCAAGGTCTTCTTATTGCCGTTGTTATTATTCAAGGGTGAGTAGAAGCTACAGTCACAGCCACACATGGGAGAGAAGTGTCTCCTCTTCCGGTTCCTCTGCCAGGAGGCTTCTGACTTGCCCATACTGTGCTCCCTCACACTAGCTCACTCCTCCGTGGGGGTATCCTCAACAGCTCTGACCCTCTTTGGCTTCAAGAGAGCCACTCTGAATTTTGAGGGAGCTCACCTTCCTGCCCCTCATCCCCTTCATGTATCTTCTCCACCAACTCCCCCCACCCTTGGTGCCTTCCCTCCAGGCTCAGGTTCTGTCTCTGTGCACTTTGGAAGATCCAACCCAGGTCTCTGCCACCCCCCATGGGATCCTCACCCTGGCCCTGGAGGAGGAGCAGCAGGAGCCCATAGGTCACGATGGTGAGCTGCACTCCAAGTTGGTGAAGCCACATGGTCAGTTCCCAGGACTGTTTCTGCATCCACTGGGCTTCACAGGGCACTGCATGGCAGGACCTCTGTCTAGGTGGAATTTGGACCTGGCAGGGAGGAGGTGGGGAAATGGGTGGTGCCCTGCAAGGTGTGTGCTGCAGGAGAGTCACTCTGAACTCTCAGAGGTCATGGAGCCAGTGGGCTTGTCCCCTTTGACACCTCCCAAGGTGCCACACAGCCTCTGCAGCCCCTCTGAGATGCCAGGACCCCTCTCCTCACACCTGGAGTCACTAATTCCCTGTCCTTGCTGTCACCCTGTCCCATGAGGGTGTTGAGGAGTAGAGGAAGGAGCAGAGAGCTGGATATAACTGGAGGAACCTGGAGGGCTTCTCTGAGGGGACAGAATGAAGATTTCCAGAGATGGAGAAATACAGGTGACCTTGCTGGAGTGAAGGGAACTGCTTGCACAGTGGCAGGGAGGTGTGACTGTGAYCTTTATTGCTGACTGGGTCCCCTTCAACAGTCCCTCATCTCAAGACTGTGTTCTCAGAGCCCCTGAGGGCCCCTCCCTTGTCAGTCTGGCCCTTCTTTTGGAAGGCACTTCTCTGTAGGTACCCCATTACCCAATAGCCAAGGTCAAGTTCACCTTTACTTATTCACTAGAAAGATGTGAAATTAGGGCTGGCTGATCCAGGGAACTCCTAGGTCTTAGGTGCCTCTAGGAGATTCTGAATTATCCTGAGCCCTGCACGGGTGAATGGAAGCCAATCTGGGCTTAGAGAGCCCATAGCTTGATTTCCTAGAGGAAAACTCACAGCCCAGCACCATCTATGTTCCTTCTTAGCACCTTTGGGAACCAATAAGCATTTATTCGGATCTGAGTAGCCAGCATACTGATAGCACCACTTCTCCTTGACCTCCACCCAATCAGCAAGGCTGCTGTGGATTCAGTTTCCCTTTCAGGGCACTCTGCTCCAAGCCATCACCCTAGCTCCTGCCTGGGCAGATGCTTTCTCTGCCCTGATTTTCTTGATCTAATTCACAGCTGGGTTGTGAGGATACTCCCACTCAGAGTCATGTTACAATCTTTTTTATGTCAACTGGATAACATAAGTGCTTCTTCCTAATTTAGAGCCTGCTGTCTACCACTGCTAGGGTGAAGGTCCTCATAAACTTTGCCACTTATTGCACAATCATTTAGAGGCCCCTGCATTGATGGTAGCCACAATAACAGTAAAAATGTGAAATTAAGAAAAGTCCCAGATGCATATCTGTGTATGTGATTGTATCTATTCTTTCCTTCTTTCTTTCTTTCTTTCTTTCTTTCTTTCTTTCTTTCTTTCTTTCTTTCTTTCTTTCTTTCTTTCTTTCTATCTAGATATGAAGAATTTCTTCTGCTAGACTGACCCTCTGTCTTCTAGTTCCATTCTCAAGAAAGACCTCAAGAAAGGTTGGGAGTTAAACCTCCTTGCAGTTGTGCAATGATTGATGTCAATATGGTCCTCAGAGTCTGCAGATCAAAAAATATAGGAGCAAACTTCACAAGTGAGGATCCTAAGGAACCCACCTGACTCCCTTCAACATCCTATTGCCAGCCAATAGCCAGGAGCCAATGGTCATGCCCTGTCCTTCTTCTCATAAAAATGGGGCCAATCACATCTCTGAGACAGAAATAAATGTCAACAATAGATGACAATATAACAATATAGGGGGACAATAGGTAATGTCAGGGACCTTTATATTTTTAGTATTGGTAACCTTGGTGGCTGAAGTATGGGAACTTACGTGCTATGGTTTGAAAGTTTTTTCCCCTCTTAGATTTATATGTTAAAATCAAATCCCAAATGTGATGGTATTAGCAGGTGAATGCTTGAGAGGTGACATATGAGGTGGAGTTCTCAAGTATAAGATTGATGCCCTCTATGCTTTGGATCATATTTGTCCCCCCAAAGATTCATATGCTGGAAGGTCCAGAGTGGTGACAGGTAGTGTGTTGGGGGCCATGAATGAATTGTGAATTTGTTTGAGCCATCTCAAGGCAGGGTGTTCCTCTTCTGAGAACTCTTTGTGAAATCCCACCGATATAAGACCACTCACTTTATGCAGACATCCTGCCCATTGTCTCAGAGAGCTCTAGGCTCAAATGTAGCAGCCCAGAAGTAGAGGAGGTGGGCATAACCTGCTAAGCCCCRACCAAGTTGTTTTTGCCCTCTTCATCCTGTTTTCCTTGGGAGGTTCTTCATACTGAATCCCTGGTGTTTCTATACATATAAATAAAGGGCATGGGTTCCATTTTGTGGTTAGATCCAGTCTCCATCAGAGCTAGATCATCCCACCATGCCACCTGCTTTTTATTTATTTCCATGTCTTGTCTTTATTTCTAAAATTTCTCATACCGTTAATATTTCTAATCTGACTCACCACCCTAGTTCAGGCAACTGAGTAAACACCATGCAGGTCATGACAGTGGTGGAATCCTTAGGGGATGGGGCCTATTGGAAGGTAATTAGGTCATTGGGATCATTGCTTTAGGTAGAGATTAATACAGTTCTTGTGAGTCCTACAGGTGCAGATTTTTATTCATCAAGGTCACCCCATATACTATCCCCTTCCACATTTAGCCATCTCCCTCCCCACTTCCCCCAAAATATTGTGAGGCTGAAGGGAGCCTTTGTGAGTGGCTGAAGAAATGGCAGCACCAAACTGGGACTTTTAAAACTGTGAGCCAAATGAAACTCTTATCTTTATATGTACTCACTTCAGGTATTTTATTATAGCAACAGGAGATAGGTTACTACAACACCATTATAAATTAAGCCTGTGAGAGTTTGTTTGTTTCTTTGTCACTTGAGGACACAGTGAAAAGGTGCCATTCAAAAGCCGTCATCATCAGATACCAAGATATCTGGCACTTTGATCTTAGACTTCCCAGCCTCAGGAACTGTGAGCAATAAGCTTTTGTTGTATATAAGATACCCAAATTATACTTTCATAACATCAGCCCGAATAAATTAAGATACTGGCACATTTGGAGTGCAGGTATTCTATTGGCCTCTTCCATGTAAGAAAACATGGGAGACATGCTGAGAAATGAAACTGGGCTTTTGATATCTAGGAGAGGGCAACATTCCCCTAGCACCTCTCTTGAAGTGGGGAGGGTACGAGAGCTGGGAGGAGAGGAGAAAGAGGGTTCAGGGAAGGAAAGATAAAGAAGCTGGGAAGGGACACAGGACCAGTGGGGTGTGCAAGAAGGTGGGCATCCACTGGGCTTACCCATCCACATCTTCCTTGGGGATTACTGAGTGTGTCTAACAAGAGAGGACCCATGGCAGCCTGGGCAATGAACGTTGTGAGGAAAGTTATTCGTAGGTGTTGGCTCAATGGATGAATGAATAGCTACATGAAATGAGGGGGTCAACACTGGCTCCTAGGTGGGCGTGTGTGGGTACCACAGGCAGACCTCACCTGCACTCCACCCACCCAGCCCTCCCTGACATGGAGCTACAGCTCTGAGCTTGTCATCAGCCCCCTTAAGTTCCTGGATCTTCTGGGGCAGGGTCTTGGTCCAGAACTTCAACCTGTAGGCCTTCAGGGCCCTGAGCCCCCTGATTTTGGTCATGCCAGGCATCCAGGCATCCAGGCAGGCAGGAGGCATGGGCAATGGCGGGAGGTTTCCTAATTTAGGAGAGCAATGACTTTCTACTTGTAGACTTTCCACATGGGACGCAGCCTGGCCTGTTTTGTCCTTCCCTGTCAGAGCTTCTGATGGAAGCTCTGCATTGTGGCCCACCCTCCTGGTGGTTGGAAAGGGACCAGGTAATGGCACACACAAGATGCCCTCTGTTAGAGTGGGTCTTTGAGTTGAAGCAAGGGGGCTAGGTTGTGATTAAGGACATGTGTGTTAATGAAGTCACCTCATACAAAGGGAACGCTGGATGAGTACAAGTCTCGAAGGAGGCTAAGATGGGTGGTGCATTCTTTCACTCATTTCCTGTAGTTTTGGCCCAGTACTTCATCATCCTCCTACTCAGCAGCTCCTCTTCCTCAGGGAGCTCAACTCTCAACTATAGGGAAGAAGAAAGCAATGGTCCAGGTCTGGCGAAGCCCATCCAGCTGTCCACTCCTGTGCCACACTCAGCACCCTAGCTGTAGCCTGTCYCTGGACCCCAGGCCTGTGTCCCTGCCCTACCCCAACAGTCCTGGAGCCAGGCCATCTGCTTACCCTTACTCATCTCAGCTTCTAGCTGAATCCACCCTGAGTTTGTCTTTGGTTCAGAAGCCTCCTTATTCCTTCTAAAACCGGGAAGTCATTTAAGAAAGCATTACTATGCCTTTTTTGAAAAAAAAGAAACAATTATGACTCTAACCACCATGGTTAGGRTGGGGACAGATGGAAGGAAAACAGATTGAAGTGGTAAAGGGCTTAGATTCTAACTCTGTTACGAACTTTTGAGTTGTAAGATGGTAGACACCAGATCCCATCCTCTCTCTAAGCCACACTTTCTTCATCTGTACAATGGGATAAATTGCCACTCCTGCCCACTAGAATACCATCCTGGCTCCTAGGAAATAAAGACGACACCTCTGCTTCCCTTGATGTAGGATCCAAAGACAAAAATAATTTCTTTGCCATGGTTGGCCTTCGTGTGAGGTGGCTTGATATCCTTGAAGAAATTGAACTAATGCTGGAACTCAAAGAAGTAGAGGATGGGAACTGGGGGGTTGACAGGATATGTGTGGGTGGCTCCTCATCTCATGTGGTGGCCCTCTCCTGCAGTACCCTTGGCAATAAGATACGTAGGTCCAAAGTTGGCTTGAATCTGGACAGTGGAATGAGGAGTCCCAGGCTGGAGCAGAGGCAGTAGGAAGGACCTTGGTTAAATCAGGTCTTGGACTTCTAGCTGTGTGGTCTTGGGAAAGTCACTAAGTGTTAATAACTCAGTTTTATCACCTGTAAAGTAAAGGAAATGGTTGCTTCTTACACTAGCCATGAGGATTTATTGAGATGAGGATCATCAGGTGCTTGGGACCAGGAACCTGATAAAGACTTGTGTCAGGACCTGGATACCAGAACTCTCCTGAGACTCACAGCTCTGAACTTCCCCCTAGGCAGCCAGGATTCAGGTACAGATATACTCACAATGATAATGTACTATTTGGTGTTCAGAGATCATGAACAAGAAGTCTCCCATTATCTTCTGTAATTGGACTTGGAGGGTGTGGAGGTCTTCATTGTCTCCCATGTACTACTCCATCAACAGGTCATTGCATTTGGCAGGCGACATCTAGTCCAGGAGATCAGGGAGTGTTAGGTTAGGCAGGCTCAAGGACAGTGAGTCAGCAGTCTCACGGTCCAGTGATGGGGCTTGCCATGGGACTGAGAATGGAGGAGAGGGCCAAACTCTGGGGAGACTTTATCCAAAAATATGTACATAGTTTAGCCTTTGTTCCTGGGGTTCCTACATAAACAGGAATGTAGAGGTGTTCCCTCCATTGGGGCAGGACCCCAGGAACCTCACCATCAGTGTTGAAGTACTCTAAGAGCCTACCTAATCCCTCTGTTTCCATCTGGGTATCATCAGTGCCTATGAGCTGGGAGGTGGAAGGAAAGTCTTAAATTTGGGGTAGGCTGGACGTGAGCCTTGAAATCCTGAGCTATACTTTACACACACACATACACACACACACACACACACACACACACACACACACACACTAAATGAGATCTTCAGGATTTTAAGGACTTGGAACTGGGCCTTGCCATGTGGAAGATCCAGCCATACTCATCATTGTTGACACCAGTGATGCTTGGAATATGTAGAAAATCAGTGGAGGTCAGCAGCTCCTGGGATTGCCTGGACAGGAAGATTTCATCCACCACATAACACATAACCTTGAAGGCCTAAGGGGACATTCAAGGTCAGGGAACAAAGTCAGAGCTCAGACATTTTCTGATGCCCACTGAGTTACTTTTTCCCCTTCCTTATTAATCCCAGTATGCTCACATATATCCCAAACCTGACTTTGCATAACTTTGTCTCCATTTCACATTCAGCTATGGAAATAAAGTAGTAAACAGGAAAGTTTCCCTGATTATTCTGTCTGAATATTAATTACATTGTCTTTTAATCTCTTTGTCCCAAAAGATAACCCATGGCTGGGGGCCTGGGTGACCTCAAAGTGTAGTCCTTGAGTGGGTCTCCCAGGAATGAGTTGATTGAATACCCTGAACTTATGAAAGGGCTACAGTTTCTGACCCCTGAAAACAACCAAAGCTATGTGAACCCATACATAGGGGTTAGCTGCCCACCCTGTGTAAGAGGCCTTCTTGGACTTGAAAGTGAGAGACTTCTCATCAGGATCCACACTGCAATGGGCCATGGTCTGACACTTACAGGCAGGTTAGAGCCCTCATGGGTGTGGGTGGCTGTGTAGACGCTGAGATGTAGGAAGTCCTCTTATACAGCATGGGAAGCAGAGTCAGAGTTAATAGGTTCAGAGTCTCTATGACTTAAGCATTGTGCAGACATCTGGTGTTCTGATTTAGATATGAGGTGTCCCCCAAAAGCTCATGTGTAAAATAATGCAAGGAAGTTCAGAGGTGAAATGATTGGGTTATGAGAGCTCTGACCTAATTGGTTCATTAATCCACTGATATGGATTAACTGGGAGGTAACTGTAGACAGGTACAGAGTGTCTGGAAGAGGTGGGTCACTGGGGACCTGTCTTTGGGACTTACACTTTATCTTTCTCCTTCCTGATTGCCATGTCCTGAGCTGCTTTTCTTCACCATACTCTTCTGTTATGATGTTCTGCTTTAGTTCATGCCCAGAGGTATGTAGTCAGCTGTCTATGGGCTGAAACCTCTGAAACTGTGAGCCAAATAAACTTTTCCTCCTGTTTTTGCCAGGTCTTTTAGTCCCAGTGACAAAACACTGACTAAAATACTTAGTAACAATGGATTAAGTTATTCCAGAAGCTGTGCAATGGTCAACACTGGACCTCTGGTCCTGATTTGCTCCCAGACACTCTCAGTCCCTGCTCCATCTGATGCTCTGCCTTTCTTTAAAGTCATTTCCTAACAAGGTAGAGGTCAGAGGCTCTGTGGAAGCTGGGATGGAGCCCAGACTTCCGGGGAGGACTAATGATTGTTGAGGGCCTAAGATCTCACTCTTCCTGAAGCTGGGAAATCGTGTCTCTAAGGGCCTGTTTTGGAACCTTTTTGGGCCTGTGTTGACATTCATCATTTATCCCTGTACCCATTCAGGCCAGAAATAGCATAGGTGGCGGTGCTTGAGTGGATACAAGTTAGTTTCCCATAGAAGAGTAATGGGGCATCCCACAGCCCAAGTTGAGACTCTCAGGGAACATCATCCCTCCCACAGAGTCTCCAGCTATAAGCACACACACCTGTTCGCACACACACCTGTTCCTTGGCTCCTGGTACCTGGCCCTGTGGATTGCCTCAGTGACTGTGGAGGGCTGAGTCCCCAAGAAGCCATCACTACTCCCCTCCTCAGGAACCTGCAGTATCTGTTGCTGGAGTAGGGTCTTTTATAGGTTGATTGAGCCAACCTGAAGAGGATCCATCAGTGAGGCTGGGTAGATTTTCCTGTCTGGAAGGTCCTGGTGTCCTCCAAGAGCCTGATCAACTGCAGGTAAGGAAGGAAGCCTRGCAGGGGCAGGCCATGGGGGTGTGGTGAGCATGGATTCCTCTGAGAAGATTACACTGGGAAAGTGTTGAGGATCTGGTCAGGTTCCACACTAGAAACCTTTGAGGTGAGAGAGATCAAGGGCTGCAGACACCCTGGGCATGGTACCCTCCTGGCAACTATTCCTGATAAGGGCCTGGAGCCTTCTGACATGTGCAGATCACTATCACCTTTGTCCTGAAACCCAAGCCATGTCTGTGGCCCAGCTCAAGTCCATGGGTGAGGGGAACCTACAGCCTCCCTGTTTTGCTTTGGGATGTGGTAATGATGGGGGGTCATGTGGTGAGAAGGGCTGTTGTGTCCCACAAAGCCAGTAACCTTGCCTGGGGACATTTTAGAGGATTYCAGGTGCTTCTCTGACCAGAGGGGACAAAATACTAGGAGCCAAACATAACTGGAAAGGTATTAGTAGTACTAGTAGTAGTAATAGTAGTAGTAGTAATCCTGAAGGTCAGTAGCAGATACAGCCACAGCCACATATATTGGAGAGAATGTCCCAATCCCTGCTTCTCTTCTGACCTGCCCCTCCAGGGCTTTCAGAGGTCTAATAGTGGACTCAATCCTTTATGTTAGGTGTCCTTAGGCAGGCCTAATCCTCTCTCTCTGATTTCAGGGGAGTCATCCTGGGGTTTGGGGGTTTATGGGATGGTCACATTTCTCCTTCGTCATCTCCACCACCTCCTTACTTCCTGGCACCTTCTCTTCTGCTCTGTGGGCACCATGCTCACCCACAGGCCACTGTGGAGCAGGACCTGTCCAGGCTCAGATAGAGTTTGGAACCAGCAGGGAGAAGGTGAGGCAATGGGTACCACTGGGAGAGGTGGGTGCTGTTGGAGAGCCACCCTGACTGGGCAGAGGTCATGGAACTAGTGGGCAGTGGGGGGAGCCAGGCATCTCCCCTTTGCCTACCCGCTTTGTCCACCTTCCAAGGCACTGTGCCAGC